TTGCCACCCCCTCCCAAGGCAAGAACTTGGAGAGCAGAAAAAAGAGCAGAGCAGAGGAAGTCAGTAAGGTTACTTGCAAGAAAGAAGCCTTGCCCTCCTCAATGAGCCCCACCAGGGCTGCTCTTATTTAAGAAGAGCTATGAGCTTGAGACTTGTGTTGGAAACAACTGTTTGCTAACCTAGACTCTGTGCCTTTTGACTTGGAACCTGGACTGGCTGATGACCTTGCTAATGCTTTGGACTGGATTTGCCTGACCATTCTTGTGCCTGCTCCTTGGACTTTGAACTCTTTATTTAGACAAGTTTGTTGGACTTCTGAGAACTTGATTGCTTTTGTGTGGGTTTGTACCTAACTTTTCATTTGCGGTTTGCTACAAGTAAAAGTTTGCAACTACCTTTTGTGTGTGCCTGGCCTGAGACAGGACACCATCAATGATCAGAAGTTCTTGCAGTTTTGTTCTGACAACCTCATTACTTCCAGATGTATTCACAGAAGTTCTACACCCCTTTCCAGGAACCAGAAAAGTGCCTTCTGATCTAAAAGTCTCACCATCTGGCATCCAAAGTTGTCTTCAAATGGTGCCCCCTTTGCCACTGTAACTGAGTCCATCCCCCCTCTCCTGCTGGTTGTCCTCTTCTTCTCTTTCCTTCCACCTTTCCCAGCATTAGAAACTTCTCCAGAGAAACAATTCAGAACTGGTTTAATATAAGAAGTACAAATGGTCTCTTTCTGTTCTTAAGAGAATGTAAAAAAAAAAAAAAAGGGCAGAGATTGGAATCAGGTTGTTTTCCTTCATCCTCAAGAGGACCACTTTGGCTATGATTCAGGTTCATTTTTTTCTGAAGTAAAGTGGTTAAAAATACTTAAGGAAAACTTTTTAGTGCTTTGGGGAAATACTTTAGGTTTTACCCATGGAATCACACTGCAAAAGTCAAGGGCATTTTTTGTGAACAATTTAAGCACACAATCCCATTATGTTCAATGGCTATTACTTCCAGATAAATGTCTTTAGAATTGAAGCCTGGGTATTGAAATGAATCTTACAAAAAAATCAGATGCACGTGGAAGATCAGAACACCAAAAAGGACAGATCAGCAATAATATTATACAGCAATATTATATATACTGATATATAATATTTATTATACAAGAGTTTATATACCACTCCAATTCCAAAACCTCCAGCTGGCTTTAATGCAATAACGATAAAAACTAAACAATAAATAACATAAAAGCAATATTAAGAAGGCTAAAATGGCAGTTCAGGTCCGCCACTGAATCTTGGTGGAACAAGATGGTGTTAACCACCTTACAAAAGGTGAATATGGTGGAGGCTCCCGTACTCCAGAGGGTAAGGTATTCCTAAAGAGAGAGCTACTACTGAGAAGACACATCTTCAGAGCCCACTCCTCCTGTCTCAAAAGGGTGGGGATCATCAGCAGCCCCATTTGGGATGAGTACACAGGATGGGCTGGATCTGTGTGGAATAGATGGTTCTGTAAGTATACTAGTGTTGAGTCATTCTAGTCTAAAATCAGCACCTGGAAGAGAATCAGCATTTGAAAGTTCTATGTCAATGAACCAAAAGAACCGATCTGGGAGAACAAGGGGAAAATGGAAATAATTGCCGTGTACTTCATCACTTCATTAAGTTAATAGACTGAGATTTTTGCCTTTGACCATCATGAAGAACACACTGTTTTGGAAATGTTGCTGAAACGTAGCCATTAGTACGTCTCAGTACTGGTCATGGTGGCTGTGCTGCTGATGAAGAAGGTGACCAATTTATTTACTGTATCTTTTTTTACAGAGTTTATAACTTGTCTTTTATCATAAATGTGATCATTACATTGACAATTATGTTGATTTTTAGGTCCCTTTGTATTCCTTTCAAAAATTGTTTCATACTTTAAATACCAATCTACTTGATTATGGTGCTTTTTCAAGGAAGACTTACCTATAAGGATCTGCAGGGTCCTTGGCATCACAGACGTCAGCATGACCGTGGCAAACACAGCGTCCTCCAATGCTGATATCTTTGATGCTGTAGTAATACTAGAAAATCAGAGGTTGCTTTGTCTTTATCAGTTTGCAGGAAATGTTCAAGTATTTTCACCAGTGCAAGAAAATCATGAGGCATAAATACTCACTTAAGAGAAAAATCATTCTTGGCTGGGCAATAAACTAAGTATCTTACAAATAGAAAAGGGTAGCCTTTGCAGTTTTATTGTGCTTGGTAATCACCAAACCTGGCTGGGATTTAGGTGGTGGGATAAAGCTGGAAGATTATAATGGCCTGGTAGCAATACCTGTGTTACTATTATCACAAAACAACTGTAGGATGACATCATGGAATTATCATGAACTTTGTACCAAGAAAAAAAAAAAGTGACTGAGGGCTGAAAAATATTATGTACAAATTTCAAGGAACCAGTTAGCAATACTCAACATCTACCCTACAGATAGTCTTCTCTCAGGAGCCCTACCCAACAAAGAATGGCAGATGTCTACCAGACAAAGAGCGGTGATGCCTACAAGTCATCTCTACAAAGAGGCTTGCTCAGGATCTATCTTTTCAGCACCAGGTAAAGAATATCTCATGTTGTCACTATTTTGTTTTCTGTGGTTTTTATTTTTTACATTATGTTATATTACTGAAGATGATTCTATACTGAATCTATCCTGCTTTTTAAAATCAATTTTATTAATTGCACTATCCAAAGGACTCTTGGTACGGGATATATCTAAAAGGACCCTATTATGTATCTATAACCTAACAATATGACTAATATCTGGATGCACTGTTTTTGCTTTTACTGTTGAAATCTCTTCTGATTAATTAATTAACCTTATTTCACAACATACTGACAATTTGTTACCTACTTGGCTTGATTAGAAATTGATAGAGGCGCTGAAATATTTACAGCTTCTACTATGATACAGCACACCTGGTGTTCTTCCAAAGCAGTTGGTTTATAACTAAGTTCATTTCTCATCTGCTCCAGTGCCAGTGATTAGGCTGACATTCAAATGAAATCTAGAAGCATCTCACCCTCCTGGTCACAGTAGGATCCCTCAAGGCCTTCCCCATCAGGTGTCCAAGGAGAGTGTTGGTTCGCAAGAAGCGCAAGCGAATATTCGTCGCTTTGGTGAAATTCCGCAGAAGAGGGGAATAAGAGAAATTCATGGCTCCTGGACGCCCATTCACCAAGGAAACCACAATCTGCAGAAGGATTCCCCCCCATCCCAGAGGAAAGTTTTAAAATGCAACATTTCCAGAAATTGTAAAGCATTTTTTTCCAGGCTTTCTTTTTAATGTAAGGAAACTACACTTTATTAAGTATACAGTATTTCATCACTATATACAAACATATCCTCACTTTTTATTATACAGACTTGGTTGGCCCATAAAAATACATTGTGCAACATCCACCATAAAAATACAGTTCATAAAATGAAGTACTTTGTTCAGCCAATGTCATCCTTCACCTCAGATGTGGCAATAAATCTCGACTAATGCTCAGTAGCTAATGGCAGGAGCTTGAAAGAAACGGCAAAGCTAGATATGTACCCTTTATTACAAAAGGGGACACATACGTACAGAAGATCAAGCTAATGTGGAGCACAGGACTCAAGAATCAAGATGATCAGATGGATGGACAGACAGATGGCATGGTGTCAAACTCAGTTTAAGCCTATGCTTTTTTCTCCTCCCTTTTTAAGGAACTTTTAGCTGTTCTTTTCCCACTTTGAATATCACCATCTATCTAGTGTCTACACCATAGTTCTTTCTAGCTCCTACCTTGCCACCTTTAGTCCTTACACCACCTCCTTCTCTTACTTCACCTTTCCCCCCCCCCACTTTGGGCCTCAAGTGGTCAGATGTATCTTCATCCTGTTGGATATTTGCAAGATCTACAGCTTTAATAGAGTTAACTATAGAGTTAACAAGAGATTGTTTTT